GGCCGCCGCTTTGAAGGCGGCTTGCCGTTGGCGCTGGTGCCCGGCCTGGCGTCCGCAGGCGGCGGCGGCAGCAGGGGTTGGGCGGCGGACGAGCGGGCGGAGGAGGGCGCGAAGCTGCCCGGCGCGTGGCTGGACGGGTTCTGCCGCTCGGTGCAGCGGCTGGCGCCAGCGCTGGGGCCGCCGATGGCGGCGCGGCTGCTGGGGGCGGCGGCGGGGTTGGGGGTGCGCGCCGGCGCCCAAGGCGGCGGCGGTGGCGCCGAGGGAAGCTTTTGGTTAGATGAGCCCGCCGCGGGGCGGCAGCGCGGCCGTGCGGAGGACGGCGGCGGCGGCGGCGGCGCCGGCGCGGCGGCGGCCATGCTGCGTGTACTGCTGCCCCGCTGCGAGCAGCTGCTGCCCGACTTCCGCCCGCGGGAGCTGTGCGACCTGCTCACAGCGCTCGCGGCCATGGATGCGGCGCCGCTGCTGCCCCCGTCGCTGCCGCGGGTCGCGCTGCTGCAGCTGCAGCTGCAACTGCCGCTTTCGGGGGGCCCGGAGATCGTGGACACCCTGTGGGCGCTGAGGCAGCTAGGCATATGCCCATACGCCCACCTCGGCCCGGAGGCCCCCGCCTTTGGCCGACCAGCTCTTGCATCAGTGGAACGGCCCCTGCAGGCAGTCTCCTTTGACAGCCGCGGATCCCCGGGCGCAGCCGCCGCCGGAGGGACATCCGGGGCGCCGCTGGGCGCAGGCGGCGCCGCATGGGTCGATGACGTCATTGTTCGGCTGCACGCCACTATGCCGTCGCTGGATGCCCGGCGCCTCGCGCGGCTGGGGGCGATACTGGGGTTCCTGCTGCGCCGCCGCCCGCCGCGCGCGTGGCTGTACGAGTACTACCAGCGCCTGCGCGTTGAGGCGGCCGGCATGGCGCCCGGCGATCTGGTGATCTGCCTCGAGGGGCTGGCCGAGGTTAGGCTGAGGCTCGACGACGAGGTGCTGAGCCGCGTCGCCGCGGCCTTGCGCGCGGGGCTGGGGGCGTCGGGCGCGGCGCTGCTCGCGCGCGCGGTGGCGGCGCTGCGGCGGATGTACGGGAAGCTGCCGGGGCGGAAGGCGCAGCAGCTGGTGGAGGAGATGGAACGGCGGAGCAGGTGGCAGGGGTGAGGCGCAGCTGGCCGTGGCGGCCAGTCCGATTGCACCTTCACTCCATTTGCCGGGTGATCACCCTGTGTGCCTGCCAAGAAATCCCTCTTGTGTTGTGGTCTAAATGTGAGCACGAGCAGGTTGCTCCTGATTGTGGAGTGCGCCGTGATGCAGTGTTCAGGCAACTGTTGTGCTGCTGAGATAGGCAGCTGCCACTTCCCTGTGAGCGGCCCCTCTATCGCGTGTGTGTGCATGCGCGCGTGTGAGTCCGTGTGCTCTGTTCTTAGCCGCTCGGCACGCGGCGTGAGTCTTTCAAGCGTTTCTGTCTTGGGGTCAATGCAACCGATCTTTCGGCGTCTTATAAGGCTGGCCGTTCTGGCTCAAACTGGCGGCCTCAAAGCTGTGATACTGGTAGCCGCAGCGGCGCCCCTTCGCCCTGAAGCAATTGTTTGGCGGCAACGGGAAACAATCAGATGTCCCTAGACCCGCCCTAGCTTGTGCATGCAGTCAGCTTACAGCCTGCGCGGCCACAAATCATGCCAACTGTGGTTGACTGGCGGTCAAACGCAACACGGCCCGCACGCAGTTCTCTCGCAGTGGCGGCGCCGGCCGCTGCCAGGGATCGCAGGGCTGACACAGCAGCACAGCCCGGCCCGCCTCCCTTTCTGAAGGGAGGGCGCGGGTCGGGAGGCAGGCCGCGGCCCTTCCCGGCAGCCAACAAGTGAGACGCATCCTGAAGCCCAGACCGGGGTCCAGGCAGCAAAGCAAGTTCACACACACTCACAAAACACAGGGCCCGCCGGCAGAGCCGGGCGCGGCTCGAGCCGTCGCGCGACGGCCGCCCATCACC